GGGGTCGGGGTGGGGGCGGCACAGTCCGGGGGGCAGCCCGGGGGCAGAGCGGCGCCCACTCACCTGCCAGGTGCCCAGTCCCACGGCGGGCATGCGCTGGCCCGAGGCGAGCTGCACGTACTCCATGTCGGGGTGCGGGGCCGGCTTGGTGCCCCAGTAGAAGAGCATCGCTCACTGCTCGGCCGCGGCGGCCGCTGCCTCCTCTCTCGCGCTGCTCCTAGGGGCGCCCTCGGGACGGGACGCGCTATTTCGGGCCCCCCGCGGCCGCCGTGTGTGGTGCGGCTTGGGCTCGGCGCTCGGCGCGGCACTGGCGGCCGCGCTCGCCGCGCTGCTCCCGGGGAGGTCCCGCGCGACCGCACCGCGACCCGCACACGACGACCACCCGCACCTCCCCCGAGCGAGCCGAACAGCCGCCCCCGACCGATACGATGCGACAGGACGACGACGTGGTTGACGTCCGCACCACCGCCCTGCTACAACCACTCTGTGGCGCGCTTCCCTCCCTTCCGCCACTCCGTGAATTATTAGCGGGCGCAGCGTGCCGCGGGGCGCGCGGTGCGGAGCGGAGCAGCGGAGCGCGGGAGGAGTTTGTTGGCGCTGTTGGCTCGATCCCAGCCAGGTCTCCAAGGCGACGGCCACGTGAGCCGCTGGCCGCCGACGGCGCCAAGTTTGAGCCGCGCATTGAAACAACGCCAGTGAGTGCGGCCCAGTCGAGTTCAGGGGAAAGAAAATGGATCGGATGGACGTCGCGTCGTGGCAGGCAGACCCTCCCGGTGGTCAGAGGCCGCGGCGCCGCACTTGAGGCTTGGACGAATGATTCCGTTCGTCTAAGCTTGAGGCGACGCCGCCGCCGTGACGAGCCCGCGACCGCCGCTGCCTGCTCCCATGCGGGAGGGTTCGCCGCCCGTGGTAGGCAGCCCGCACGCACGCCCGCGCGCGGTGCAGTGCGGCTACTAGGAGGCACGGGCCAGGGTGCGTGTGTATGCGTGTGTGTGTTGCGGGGAGCTCGATGCTGCCCGACAGCTCCACCGTGTGCGGCCCTCTTCTATGTCGACAGCCTGTCGCAGCGTAAGCATGTACTGGAGAAGCGTCAGCCCGCGCCTCCCTCCCCCTCCCCGCACTGCCATAACCCCCAGCAGAGCGGCGGCGGCGGACAGCAGCAGCAGCACAAGCGGAGCTTTTCTCCGAGAGGAAAACTTTTTCGGTTCTTCTCTGTTGTGGAGCGGGGCGCGCGGGGCTCGGTGCCGGGAGGGCGCCCTCGCCGTCATTGTTCTCCCCGCTCACCTGAGCAGGTGTCGCCGCGCGCCCGGGAACAACAAGTTGTCTTTCGCGTAGTCGTCGTCCCCGCTCGGTCGTCCCGCTCCTACCCCTCCCTCCAACCCCCCCACCTTTGTTCGCGCACGCATTGGCTAAGGTCGCGCTGTTGGCGCTGTGTTCGCTCCGTGTCCCCTCTGGCCGCAACACGACGGAAAACACAACGGCACAGCGCGTACAGATAACAGACTGAACCTGGCGCTGCGGCAGTGGGCCGCGTTAACCAACTTTACAAATGACTTAAATTGTAATGAACTGTTGTGTGCCTCCTCCCCCCCCC